CAGCAGCAAAAAAATGTATGCAGATATAATTTTTGCAGACAAAATCATCGTAGAAAGAGTCTACCTGCATTCTGTGTTATTATTTGGGACGATGCTTGAGATTTTAAAACTAATGTAGAGTGGTTTTGATAGCTTTTGGGTGAAAATTATAGCCTGATAGTCTCAGTGACTGGTAGCAAGGAAAAAAAACATTTATAGGAATGTTCCAACTGCGAATGATGTTGAAAAAGACAAATGAGAATTTAACTCATTTCCTTCCTCAGATGTCTTTACAAGCTCAGATGTCTTTATATTCCATTTTTGAAGACATCTGAGCTGGCTCAGTGGTGAGATGGAAAAATTGCAGAATTACGCCTGAAAAAAATTCCTCAATTGTTTTCAGGCTTTTTTTCGATGGCCATTTGCAGATTAATGAATCAGCCCGCATAGAAAAACTTGCTATACCACTCTGTTTCAACGTTGCACCTGCCCACACAGTGCAGGGGCATCGAATCCTCTTTGTAGAAAGAATGAATCACAGACCGACTTCCTCTTCCACTTAAAAAGCCTTATCTGGATGTTACTCCAACTTTCTGATTGATGAAATGAAGCACTATTCAGAATACGTTGATAAAAAAAGAGGGTTGAGAGGCGTGTTTTTGAAAGAATTCTTGCTTTAAAAAATATTAAAGTTGGATCGGCGCAAGTCTGCTGACGAATTGAAGGACACGTAACTTCCCGAAACAGTCGAATAAAAGCGATTTTTTTTGTGACGCTACGCAGATTGTCATATGACACGAATCAACTTTACGACGTCTGAAGTTTTTCTACAGTACGGCATTAAAAATTGAATACTGGGACCTTTAATTTTAGAAAACTTGAGAAAAATGCTTCAAATTTGGGAATTAGGATTTTTGCCGAAAGGAGTACTGCAGAAGTGGCGATTCAGATGTCAAGAAGCATGGAACATATTTCATTGATAGGCCTTGCATCGGGGGAAACGTGGCAAACGTTGTGTGATATTTGTCCAGCGTTGATCTCTTGTGAAATAATGCCCTTCAAGAATTAATTATGAGACATTTTAATGAAAAAACGGTGCTTGAACAAGAAACAAGTGGCCAAAAGGTGGCAAGCAGGAAGTACCTATCTGTTTTATTGAAACATTTTATTTCATTTTTGGAGAACTTTTCATTTTAAGGCAAACAATTGAAGTGAATAAAATGTTTCCATTGAATTCTGTGAGAAAATGTAATCCAACATGTGGATGTTCTGACTTAAGGATATTTCAGACATAGTCAGAAGTAATTGTGTCTGCGGCCTATATATAGGCCACACCTTTGTTGCAGTAACTGCAACATAAAAATACTGCAACAAATAAATATTAAATGTAGCAAGTTTTTATTTGAAAGGCATATCTTACGCATTTTTAACACACAATCCATCCTATTCAGGCATAACTTAAGTTACACCAGTTTCTTAATCAACTGTAACAAGGAGGCATTAAAGAAGGCCTACCTGCAATGAATTAACAAAAGTTCCAAGTAGGCGTAACACAAAATGCATGGCAGTTTTGCCATGAAATGCATTTGCCACCTGTTTTGCTACACCAAATTATTTGCTGGGTAGGGCCCTAATGTACTGTACTTGGAACCAGGATCATGAATATTATAATTCAAATTTTTGAGTAAAGCCTTTTCATGCCACATGGATTAGGCTTCTTCATTTCATTGCTTGACATTATATATTTACTTGCTGTTCTTGATGAAAACATGCCACATTATTGCAGGGGACGCGATTATTGTGATCTGCCACGCAGAATAACAGTACAGTACTGTATACTGCTGTATCGTCGTGCATCTTCATAGTTTTTAGAAGTATAAAACTCGAACTATCCGGGCAATATACCTGATGACAGTCAGAACATCGCGGGATAGTCGAAAAGTGATAAATTTTAAACCAAGGTGAATAGTTAAACACAAGAATATGAGCCGAATAGCATCACAATTGTGCGTGGTAACCTTTGTGAACCTCGAAAAAATTTGGCTAAACTAAGAATTTTATCACATTTGAATAATATGTGTCTCAGATTGAAATTAATTAATGCCTCATTGTCTCCTCCAATTGAATTTAAATGATGTCTTAAAAATCGAATACTCGGTCAATCCAAGCCGGGATGATTTTTCGCTGGGGAAGGAACGGCGGCAGAATATTTTCGTGGGTCGCGGGTACGTTGCACTGCCTGGGATTTCGTTGGGCCAGCTGTAGAGCCATTGGAGTGTTTTCGTTTTATTTCGACCGAATAAAAACAGAGTGGAAAAGGTGTTCCAGAGGGAGAAGGGGGAATATATGAAGAAAAGCAGCGAATGGTTCGGAGTCGGGATGTGAGGAACTCGGTTGTCCCCGTCGCTGGGAAGGAAAACAGTCGGGTATTCCGGCGGAATAGTGGCAATGGTAATGCGCGAGCGATTCTCGACGAACACCAGCGACGGACTGATGGAAATGCGGCTGCTAATTGAAGAAGAAGCTCGTTGATACCCCGGGGACGCGACGGCGTTTGATATTCGGTGGGGAAGAAAAATTAATTCTTCTCCAGTTGCCGCGGTTTTTCTGCATCAAAGCTTCCCGCTCTGCCGGAATCCCCTCATTTGTGCCGTTTGATGAACGCGTCTCAGTGGTGACGACGCGATAATTCAACCGCCATCTGCCTGCCGATTCTGCATCTGACGTCATTTGCAATGCCGACCCCGCGTTCCCCCGAATCGCATTTCCATATTCCTGTCGTCGTCACTTTCTCACGCCCTATGCTCTTCACTGAGATGCCCTGAAATTTATCTTTCCCGGACCAAATTAACGGTCACCCTTTCAGCCTGTCCTGCTGGCGCTCTGGACATTTGTGATATTGTTCGCGTTGTCCGTATTCGAAACAATGCAGGTCATTTATCATGATGACGGAAGTGTGATTCTCAACTCGAGAGAGTCAGTACAGTAGTTCCTAATTTCCGGGTAACTTTACTCAAATTAACGAGGCTCTCTGTTCCAGTCTCTTTGGGAATCTGCTGAAACTATACGCGGAAGCAGCATATTTACCCGAAGCACAATGGAGAACAACGATTGCCGGCATAAATACTTCGTAGCGACCTCTAGACTCGGAGGTATTCAAGCATATGCTGTTCTTTCCCTTAACGGAATATTGAACGGTAAGGAGAACAAAAAAAAAAAAGTAGACATCTTCTTGTGCAGGAATGTATTGTTGAAGATTCAATCTTTAAAAAATATTAATGGTGATTTCATTTTCTCGCGAATGACGTTGATTTTCGTGTGCAGTAGTGCTTGGATGAATCGCAGACAGATCAGCACATCCGTTTTGCGATTGAAATACTTCCGATGATGTCATATTTTCGAAGTACAGTATCGGCAGATTATACGAATAAACAAGCGTAAAAATCGGAAATCACTCGAAAGAAAATTGAATGTACGCTTGCTTTTTTGGCTGGAACAAGGCATTGCTGCTGAAATCGGTTCACTTTTTTCTGCTCTATCTTCTGAATGAAATATCATTCGAATAAAATATTACAGTGTACGTGCTGAAATTTATATCGAGCTATTGTGCTCGGAAAAAATAAGATGCGTTTCTGTGTACATTATCAAATTAAATTCCCTGCATATTTATTTTTTCCGATCTCCATTTTTCTTCAACACTTATTGGTGTACCAGAATTTGATTTTCATATTTCTTTGCTTGATGCAAATCTTGCGGGACTTACAAAATATTACGAAAAATGTTCTGAAGGATACTCCCATCGCAAACTGACAACATCCTTGAAAAATAGGGTCGCACATGCAAGGAAAAAATCTGCAATTTTTTACATCTAGAAAAATATGGTATTCGTGTGCACGCGGTCAAAGCTTTCCAACTATTTCGTGGTTCGCATAGACATTCAACTCCCGAGGAGAAATCTCCATCGACGAAACTTGGCCGTCATTCGTCGGGGTGATGGGATCGCTGCGGCTATCCAACACCCGAAAAGTGTCAGCGTAAATTCCTAACGAGTGCCAGTCGATGAAGTCTGCAATAAAGACCAGCATTGTGTACAGCCCGAGCGTCGAGAGCTCTTTCATTCTCCTCGAGATATCTCGTTATCGCCTACCCCGGCAGTTTCGCTGCAGTATTCCCTGGATTTTTCCCTCACCACATTTCCCTGTGTCGTTTCTTGAAGTGTTACACAAGACCCCCACTATGAGGGGTTTCTGTTTTTTCTCTCTTTGTATTAAAAAAAAAATGAGTACGACTTTCAGCGCAAGGACTTCGGGAGCAAGTGCGTGCCGAAATGCAAATAATTCTTACTAAAAGGCAACACGGCGGAATATTGTGCAAGTCGGTATATCTCTTGGGCTTTCCGTTGCTTGCTGACAATAAGGGGGAAGAAAACAACTCTTTCCTGTACCGCCAATAACGCGCGCACTTCTAGGTCAAGATGACGGGCAAATGTTTGTTGAGGAATATCTTCGTCTGTTTTCTCATTTTATGAACAGAAACATTGGTTTACTCTTTCGTGGGTTCTTCGCAGACTGCTGTGCGGGATGAGCCTCTTCCGCCTGGAAATGAGCCACCAAATCCAGTTCGTATGACGCAAAGTTTAAAGTGACATCTAGTGTTTGTCGGCCGTCATAAAAACTGGTCTTGTCGCTGCTAGATGTCAGCCTATTCCATCGTCGGACAACTGTACAGTACTACATTTCAGAAGCGAGTCGTTGTTCCAACATATGTCGTACTAAATCGAGGTTTCCAGCTGGTTTTGATTTAGAGAGCCGGTTCAATCGAAGTAAAACTGAAATCTTCCTTGAAAAGCAACCCTTTCTTGAGAATGATTCGAGAGTATTTCTCAAAAGGGAGTTTTCTCCCTATAAAAATAATCTTTGGAAGGATAAAAATAATCTTTAGAAGGACGAACTAAGGGAAATACTGTACCGTGCAGTAACGGGGTACAAATCGAAATAAGATCACAATTCTAAACGAAGGAATGGATAGTCTGATGGAAAAAGTTTTTATATTTCTTTCAAGTGAAACAAAGGACGTCTGCAACACTGATCGCATACGCACCGATGATGTGGCCAGAGACCTACGGCAAACAAAAAGCGGCAAGAGACCATCCGAAGTAACTACCTCATCGCTCTCGGTAACCTTGGATCCCGACTCGTTCGTTCTGGACATACTACGAACATCAGAAAAGCCGGAATGTAACCCAAACAAATCTGGAATTTTTGCCACAGCCTCGCCTCCAACTTTCAGGTGAGTAGCAAGCTTTGGCAAATTTTCGAAATGCTGCGGGCGAATGGCAGGAAATACGCACAAGATATGTAATTGCTAGAAACAAGAAGAAAAATCAAAATAGAATATGAAATGAAGCGCACGACAGATTCATCTTCTCAAGTAAGCTGTGATGTAATACTATTAGATACAAGTATTCACATTCTCTCTCCTAGTTTAAATCGCACGCTCTTCTTCCCGATCATGATGTATATAAAAAAAGAAGTCTTGGGTCAATTAATCTCGAACAAAAGGTAGCCGTGGAGCGGCAATACAAAACGCTAACGCAACTAGAGCCGATTAGAGGCATCTTTCGCGCAATGAAATGTCGTCGAATCAGAGCAATCTCAATACGAGTCCCGGGAAAGGGAGACAAGCAAGCCTCCGATCGTCTCAACAATTTCCTCGTCGTTACTCGCGACATTTGAAACACAAGATAGAACACGGGAGCAGATCGGGGATCACAGAACGGCGAATGGAACCTCAACGAATCTTGTTCAAAAAATATGAAGACGGGTGAGATGCCAACACTGGTCGAGGTTGGAAACGCCAACTTAACTGGCTTCCCGTATGGTTCCCATATTGCTCAAAACGAAGACGAAGGAAATTTAAGCAGAATAAATCAACGAAAGGGCGCGACGATAGAATTAATCAATGTCTCGATACATCAGCGTTACCACGTAGCATTGCTTGATTCGAGCCTACAAGCATTCTCAAAAGGAATAGTACGATGCGTCGCAAGGAAGATTCGACACAATTCTTTTTTGGTTCGACATGGAATGCACATCGTCGTCGGCGATACGAACCTTAAAAGCTCCCGGTGAGCTTGCAAAACAATTATTCAGATCTGCCAAAAGCTAGAGCAACGGAGCACACGCGATGCATCCTTCGGGCGCGACCATGGCACATGCGGAGGGAGAGGAGCGGAATGTGATGAAAAAATAGGTCAACGCAAATCGGCAGTGAGCAAAAACGTGACCAAGCGCAAAGGTCGCTTGAAGAGAAACTTCGTTAGTCAACGAGGTAGCGCGACCGGTGCACCAGGAAATGTTTCGCTCGAATCCCTGATCACAGGATTGGTCCGCCCCCAAAAGGAAAGAAACAGCCGCGACCGGTGAAGAATGATCTGCAGCGAAGGGAACATTTCCCAGAATAATGCCCATGGATGAGGAACATTGAACGACCAAGCTTCCGCCGGGCCCTCGATTCGTACGCACAGTCTCGACTAAGCCACATTCTAACGTGGCAGTGTCGGCGCAGGGAGGATCACAGAGCCTTGGAAGCAGAACGACTCACCAGCTCCTTCAGCCTCCCTAAGCACTACTATATTTAAAGATGCGAAACTGGAGATTCGGCAGCGAGAGAGACACGAAGAGACACGCGCAGCATACTAGGTTGAGCATTATCACGTCTGTAGCCCAGCCTCAAATTCTCTTTGAATAGAATCAATTTCCTTCACTCTCAGGCCCAGTTGTTGAACCAATGTTTCGAACACACGCCGTTGAGACTCCTGCGTTCCAATTGCTGTGTCATACTTTTGTCTCCATTTTTCGTTTTCCATTTGTAATGTCTGAAAAGAAACAATACGCTTAAAATAATCATGGATGTACAATAAAACTTCTCCAAGTCAAAATTCAAGGAGCCAGTAAAAAACATTTTTGAATAAGGAGGTTTCAAGTTTTAGGGAAACATGCAGTTTCGTCGGGGAGGAGGAAGAAAAAGTAGAAAACAAAGAACACATATTCACGCACTTCTCAAGTCAATCTCATTTTCCCCAAATACTCAGATGAATATGTATGGTGCCAACTATGCTTTGAATTATATTTTGATCTTAAAAAATGAATTGGATAAGATAGCATGCAGAAAACGTATTCTCTACAATCACGAAAATTAAACTTGAACGATTATCTACGGTACGTAATAATTTATATAATTCAATACATTGCCGCAAAGCATAATCCGTCTCTCATTTAAGGTCACGCGCACCTTCAGACTTTCCGAGTCTCCAACCGGCCGTTCTGACAGCTGACACGTAAGCCGACGAATTTCCTCGTCTTTCATCCTCATCTCCTCGCTCAGTGAATCAACTTCCGACTTCAGCAAACTCATTTCCTTCTTAATCTCGGACGCAGCCTCAGGATTGCCTGGGAAACGCGAAAGCTGAGTGAATTGATTTCAACCGCGGTAGCACTACGACTCACCTCTCCCGGCTTCAATTTCGATTATTCTCGATTTAAGCCTCTGATTCTCTTCTTTGTACGAATGCAACTGCCGTTTCCACTCTTCTACGTTCGCTGTCGACTCTTGCAAAGCCGAAGTAAGCCTCGCGTTATTGTTCTTTAGCGTTTGAAGCTCGATTTCCCACTTTTTTGCATTGGCAGAGCTGCAAATTGAAGCAAAATGAATTATTCTCCAACAATTAATCATAACATCTTCTCTTACTACCTCTGTGCCAATGCAAGCTTCAAACGTTCGTTCTCGTATTTCAATTGTGCTTCTGCTGTAGCTCCAGGTGGGAGACCTTTGGTCAGGTCTAGTTTCTTCGGACTATCCGCTTGCTGAGGAAACAAGAAAAAGAAAAATTCCTCATTGATCTAATTTCCCAACATCGAATATCGGAAACATGTCAGTGCGTGACATACTCTCGCAACGAATTTTATTACTTCATAAGAGCTTTAGAAAAGATAGACCTCATTATTTTTACGCTAGCTAGAGCTAGATGTTCAAGATTAGCAACTACTGTCAAATTTCCTAAAGTAAGCAACTGTTCCAATAAAAGTACAATAAGTAAATTTTCAAATACTGTAACCTATACATATTATATCTTAGGAGCCATTCATGGCAATACTTCTGCCTCTGATTGTACGAGTCCAAATAATAAAACCTGTACAGTCGGTTAACAAACTTAATTGGTTCCAGACAGAAGTATGTTAACCGAATTTGATTTTCCTACAGACTTCAATGGGGAGGAATTGAATCCCTTCCATGCACTCAAGACAATTAAAGTCAGGGCCTTCAAATGTGATCATAATGAGTTGTTGCTGAATTCTGTATGAATGTTTGAGGGAAGTAGCAGTGACGAAAACAATGCTAAGAAAGCTTCACATTCAGAGGAAATATGTCACCTGAAATGATTTTTTTTCTTTCTTAATGCTGCAAGTAAAACTTAATTTGACCTGTCTAATATTTTAACAAATTCGAAAATTGATTTGAATAGCCTTCAGCTTCTTCCTGAAGCCAATTTATTATCTTTCTCATTGTTTGAGCTTAAACCATGGTACATTACCAGTTCCTTAACTAAATTGCAGCCACATGTCTACCTGATAATTTCGTTTTGCTAGGCTAGTTCATTGGAACTGGAATGCTTCTTTTCTCTAGAAACATTTGGGACTTATCTTCGAAATTTTGGAAGATTTGAAAATGGTTTCAATGATCTACTGTTGTACGGATAATTCCTTGCTTTTCTGTGCTTCCTTATTCATTTGTCAATCACAAATGCCATTTCTTTCAATGAAATTCTTACTTTCTCAAATGTTGACAAAACTTTACACAAAAGTCAGCAGATCCAAAGAGCTTTTGAAAAAGAACGGCACACAGCACTGAAAAAATGAAAGTAAATTTAATTGAGGAAAGTCTAGCATATTCTTCATCATACAAGAGCTTGAATTTAATAGTTTTTATTTTGAGTTGAGATTGCAAGTCTGGCCATAGAAACTCTTTAACAATGCTAATCATTTTGGAGAAAAAATCAAGACAGATTCATTGGCTGGGGGATTTTAAAAATGCAGAACTTTCTTGAAGAATTGTCTGTGAGAGTTCGAGTATCTTGCCTCACAAAAATTTCGTTAATCCTCAGAGAAAAAAATGTTGTAGGCAAACGCCGTTAGAAATTGTACTCCAGGCAAACCGTTAAAATTCGGAA